GATCTGAGAACTGTGGATCCAAACCAGCCAGGCAAAAAAGCTTATGAGACTTTTTTTTTATTGTGAAAATACTGTACAGAGGGGTTACAATTACATGGGCAGGATAATGAGTACATTTCTTATCAAGCATTGTAGCCTCCTCCTTTATTTCCCCTTCCCATCCTTTCTTTGAAGATTTGTTGTTGGGGTATTTAATTTTTTGAGTTCAAGGTATATTTTATTTTATTTATTTATTTATTTTTTGGGTCCGGTCGTGGGGCCTGAACTCTGGGCCTGGGCGCTGTCCCTCAGCTCTTCAGCTCAAGGCTAGCGTTCTACCACTTGAGCCACAGCGCCATTTCCGGCTATTTTCTTTTTGCTTATGTGGTGCTGAGGAATCGAACCCAGGGCCTCAGGCATGCAAGGCAAGCACTCTGCCACTGAGCCACCTTCCCAGCCCCTCAAGGTATATTTTAGATATGAGACTCTTGTCCGTTGTACTGCTAGTGAAGATCTCCCAATCCGTGGGCTTTCTGTTGTCTGCAGCTAATCACCAGGAAACTGAAAGTGGTAGAGCACTAGCCTTGAGCAAATCTCTGGGGCAATGCCCAGACCCAGACTTCAAGCCCTATGACAGAATTTTAAAAGAAAAAATAACAATAAGAAAGAAAGAAAAGAAAAAGAAAAAAATGATCTCACATGGTATATAAGCCACAGAGAAACCAAGCCATAGTAATACAGCTCATGAAACACACCTTTCCGTACACACCTACGCATGTGCTTTTTGGTTTAGAAAGTCTACAAGGGGGCTGGGAAGGTGGCTCAGTGGTAGAGCACTTGCCTTGCATGCTCGAGGCCCTGGGTTCGATTCCTCAGCACCACATAAGCAAAAAGAAAAAAGCCGGAAGTGGTGCTGTGGCTCAAGTGGTAGAGTGTTAGCCTTGAGCTGAAGAGCTGAGGGACAGCGCCCAGACCCAGAGTTCAGGCCCCACGACCGGACCCAAAAAAAAAAAAACAAAAAAAAGAAAGTCTACAAGGATAGTGTAAGCAGACTTTTGATTTCCTTGTCTGCTACATGTAATAGAATGAATTTGGCATTATTACCTAATTCTCTACTTCCTTTAGTCTAGCTTTCTTATTAATTCAGTTAAGACCTGACATTGTTTCCAGAGAAATAATGTTAAGGAATGAAATGTTTGTCTTAGTTTCATTGCCCAAATCCATTCAGTAGTTAGATATGATTCTTCTTATCTAAATTGACAGTTAAAATTCATCATATCTAGCAATGGAAATTTTGGCCCATTTTGCTAGTAGTATCACTTGCATTGGTAATGCAATTATTTATTATTTCACTAGAGAAAAATATGATTTTGTTGGGTCTAAATCAAAACTTAGAGTTTCTCTATGACTCACATATCACTGTTGATAATCATAAAATACCAGGAAAATTACAGAATTGCCCCAAGTAAAACTCATTGTAGAATAGCCTAATTATCTATGCCCCCATAGATAGTAAAATTCCAATAAATGTTAGGAACATTTAAAGTTAATTTGTTTTATCATTTACCAATTTGCAATTTGAACTTAACTCTGATAGAGTGACAGCTAATACTTCCTTTTTTTATATTTTGAATATATATTTCTTAATTTTGAGAAGCATGCAAAATAATCTCTATTGTCTTTTAAAGAAAATTTCTAGGGTTTTGTGTTGTAGATATGTAGTAGATAATCATATCATTGCACAAAACATGATTTAAATAACCTTAAAATCAAGATTATGCTTGGCATTCATTGAATGTAAATAAAAAGTCATTGTAATATTCATATTCACTCGTCTTGCTATGCTATCATTAAAACTGATGAGGGCAGGACCCAAGGGAAGAATGAAGAAGACAGTGTTCTAACCCAAAGTGTGCTTTCTTCCTGACCTCTCTCCTTTACTGTGTCTTCTGGATTCATCCTGTTTTTCTTTTTTCCTTTAATTTCCATTCTGATTTATGTTTCCTTCTCCCTTGGCAAAATGATATCAGTAACAATAATAACTATTGCCACTTATAACCCTACTTCTGAATATAAATCCCATCATTAAAGGAACATAACTTTTTTGTACTAAATTCCAGCCCTTGCCAGTGATCTTTATAGATGTGTGTGTGTGTGTGTGTGTGTGTGTGTGTGTGTGAGTGAGTGAGTGTGTGTATGTGTTACTTTTCTTTAAGCTTTAAACTATTTGGTCAGAATTAAATTCAGATATGAACATTAGGGTTTAGTTCATCTTTCTGTGGTCATTGAATTGACATCTCAAATACAGAGCATGCAAGTCAGGCCTTTTCTTAATCCAGAGCTCATGGCTTGTCCTCTATTCATGCTGCTTCTTATAGCTATTATCTTTGTTATTTTATATTTTATAACAGATAAACAGGGACATTATGCAAAACTTAGGATGTACGCTCATATCAGGTTTTGTGGAGGCTTTTTGATGATTTTTATTGTTAAGGCAAATATATTCTATAGATCAAGATCACATTCCTTCCACGTTGTATGTGACTTGAATGCTTCATAAAATATATGTCTATCAAATGACCTTTGGCAAATGTGTAACAATACTATTTTATTTACAAGTGCTATTAAATATGTAGAATAAAATGTTTGATCACACATAACTTAATATTCACTCATTATTGTTATGCCTACTTGGGACCCTGACAGAAATATCATATTTTGAAATTGCAAAGGCTATATTATTTTTGTGTTTTGTCATGTTTGGTACCATATGAATACTAGTTAGGTTATTAATGTGATGATTCATTTAATACTGTCATGCCTTTCTCTATTAAATTAACTCTAGCTTCTTAAACCAAAGACTAGGTATATAAATTTAACTCAAGGAAAATACTATTTCAAGATTTAGGAGCAATATACAACTACAAATTTGGAGGGCTGAGTATATATTTTACCTATATACTTAACTGACAGACTTTGCAATGGTTTATATGAATTCATCCATGTCATTATATGTTACAAAATATATATATTGGACCTCAACCAATTTGAATTAACTTTTTTTTCAATTTTTTTTTTTTTGTATTGGTGCTGGGGCTTGAATACTGGGCACTGTCGCTGAGCATTTTTGCTCAAGGCTACCACTCTCCCATTTTAGCATATAGATCCACTCCCAACTTTTGGAGGGGTTTTAGTACTAAATTAGAGATAAGTATCTCATGGACTTGGATGCCGGGTCTGGCTTCCAACAGACCTCAGATATTAGCCTATTGATTAGCTATGATTACATGCAGGAGCCACCACAGGTGTCTAGCTTGGATGAACTTTTCTCTGCGTTACTTTCAAAACTTCTCCTATTCTGTCTGAATGGAGGATGTGCGTTACATACTTATGTCATATGATGTTCTTTAAACCTTATAAATATTGAAATGAACTATCTTTGAACCTTGCAGTGGTTTGGGTGTTTAGAGATAAGTTGCTAGAAGAAATAGGTTCATTTTTAAAACCAGTACGAGAATAGGAGAACCCAAGTTGAAGTGTTTAACCCATCCACCCCTCCCATTTCATCACATTCCATCCAACTCTATCCACCATGCTTTATAGCACTCCACTGTATTGTACTCCACTCGATTCTATTCCGCTCCACTTCATTGTACTCCAGTCCACTGATTTCAACTCCACTCCACTCCATTCCCTTCCACTCTACTCCACAACTACTCCATTCCCACTCCATTCCACTCCACCCCACTCCATTCCATTCCATTTTACTCCGCTCCACTCCGTTCCATTTCACTGCAGTGCATAGACATGGACACACAATTACAAAAACTAAATATTCATATTGTAAATGAAAAACAATAAAAAGTTCAAAGAAAAACATTTTTGTAGGTTTCAGACTTGTATATTATCCCTATTGTGTGTTTGTGTGTTTTGTTAATTTCTAACTTCTTTAAAATTCATTTTGCTCATGTTCAGTGAATATTACATCCAACATAACTAATATTCTATGCTCTAGGAGAATAGTATACTCAGTGATCTACCCAAAGTTACTATCCTTTGCTTTGTATATATGTGGACATTTATTGAGATAATTATTATTAAGTGACATTCCAATTCAGCTTGTTTTACATGTTTGTTATTTAAAATAAGCTGTTTAGAATAGCAAAAAGTAAACACTATTTCCAGCAAAATTCTCTGGAATTTTAGTACTAAAGTTTTTAGACAATTAATCATAAGGAATAACATCTTTTCTAACACAATGCTGTGAACATGGTTCAAATGAAAATGTTTAGAAAGTGTTGTACTTAATATGTAGAATAATTTCTGAATGAGTATTAGAGCTTGAAATGGAATTACGATACACACATGTACCCTCCTTTGTTGACTTTTTAAAAAGAAATTATGAGAAAAGAAAATATTGTACTATTCTAAAATTACTTAAAAGTTATTTCTGGAAAATATTTGTACTAAATATAATATGTGTAGTGTGCTTGATGTTATAATAATAACCCATTATTTTAACTTACCTATTATACTAAGCAAGCCCTCATCTCCTTATACATATGTACCTAAATAAGTGTATTTTACACTAATCCCCCCATGGGAAACACAATCATTTCTTTCAGGTTTGGGTAATAAATGCTATGATAATATATGCATAAATATTGTAATTTTGATTGCTTACTTTTTTACATATGGTTTTTGTGCCCATTAAAATGAGGAGAAAACATGTTTTATTCAGGAAGTAAAGGAATTCTATAAGGAATTTAAATAAGAATACCTTCATTTAATGAGTCCAACACCCTTTTCTTTTCCTTTGTTTCCCCCTTACAGGTTTCAGATTTGGGACATTGATGTTTATTTTGAGGACTTTTTCTTTCTCTTCTTGAGACTTTTTTATTTTTTTAAGTCATTGGTCTTGGACTACAGAAGAGAAACCAGAACCATTTTGTTTCACATTTGAAACACTCATTGTCGAGGAATTTACACCCCAGTGCACAGACATGTGGCCATCACAGCTACTGATCTTCATGATGCTCTTAGCACCACTAGTTCATGGTAAGTCCTTTCATTCTATTTTTGTGTAATGTTTAATATTCACTCAGTCATATTGGATCCTTTCTTGATTTCCTTGTTTACTTTATGTTAATATACATATTATAGCCTGTATTTTAAGCTGCAAAGAATTACAACTTTTTCAGTTGAATTAATTAGTTATAGAAATGTGCACTTAATCCAGTGGTTTTGCTTCTTCTTCTTGTTTTTTTGAGAATTCCTACTTCTTTGTCACATTTATGGAAAATCATCTGAGTTGTAAATTATATTATTTAGTTTGAATTTTTGTCTTGTATATTTTTTATAATTCGAAGTGACTTTTGAATAAATTATCATAAACATTTGAAAAACAATGGAAGGAAATTTGCTTTCCTATATCAATTAAAGGTTTGAATGTTTTGTATACTGTGAAATTTTTATTCCACAGAATACATACAGTAACCTCTCCTTAAAGGAACCTTGTTTTGGCTATATACCTTGTAGCTTAAGTAAAATAACAAAAAGAGAAACCCAAATAGAAAATGATAATGCAAATATATGCTTTCAGTTTTTAGAGAAAGGCAATTTTGCATAGACATTTTAAAATACTAGTAATAGATTTTGTATTTGTTTTCTTTCTTTACACTTCTTTGTATTTTAATATAAGCAGGCCAATTTAAAAATGATGTGCTTTTAGAATTTCTACAAATGCATAGTTCTCAATTTCCACTGAATTCTCTAAAAATGGATACATTTAAGTCTTTATACTTCTTTATTACAATTTACTTTTTTCTCTTATTACCGATTTTTCACTAAGACAAAAGATGGTATATTATGGGATGTAGTAATGGATAAGTAACACAGCTATATTTGTCATTGCTTAAGAGGGTTGAGAATATGATAGCATAGCCATCAACTCATGTGAATTTTTGGACTTTTTAGCTCAATTTTACTTCCTACTCAACTGCCAAGCTCTACAGCAGTTCACCAGTAGAATTGGTCTATGTTTCTAAGGCTCAACATGAATTTCATTCTGCTGTCAGTATAAACATGATAATGACATTACTTTAAAATAGAAATATAAGCTCTCATCTCCTTTGTAGTTTTCCTCTAGTTTTAATATGTTTATCTGACAAACAACTCTTTAATGTAGAAGATATTTTAAACATGAAAGGATAGTCTTCACATAACTGCCATGTTCTAAATAGTTATATATGTCAACGATTTTAAAGAGTCATATGTCCAAGTGCAGTCACATACACGGACCCACATAACACTTTATAATATCATAAAAGAGTAATTTTAAACAGATGTTTTTCTTATATACAGCTTGTGCTGGTTCAAATTAGATATTTTTATTAAAAGAGTAAAATAAATCTACCCTCATAAAATTATTTTGAGCACTAAGTAGTATATGGAAGGAATCTATTATAGTGCATAAGTCTTTAAACATATTAATTTCCCTCATGTTACTATCTGTCCCTCTAGTAAATTACAATAATCATTATTAGCTGGCCATGATTGTTCTTTCATTGGGCATTGATACTAAGAAAAAGTTGTATAATATACCTATATTCATATTGGTATGTACATAAACACAAACTTGCAAACTTATGTTCAAAGGTCAGTTTATAATTGTTAGAGGAAGATTACTTAAAAATAGCAGGGATAGATGAGTGCTGGTAGTTCATACCTATAATCCTGGCAAGTCAGGAGTCAGAGATTTGACTCCAGCTGGGCCTGGAAAGTCTGTGTTATCTCCAGACTGTTATCTACAGTAGTCTACCAAAATGCCAAATGTAGAGGTGTGGCTCAGATGGTAGGGTTTTAGGCTTGAGCAAAACAAGCTCAGGAGACAGCACTCATCTCTTGCGTTCAAGCTCTAGGACCAGAACACACACACACACACACACACACACACACACACACACACACACACCAGAAGTAATGATAATTAGGATTATCATTTTAAAGGGGAAATGTCTCATTTTCCAGAATTTATACTTCTATTTATTCATTTAGTTCCAAATATGGCTGAGCCATACATAAGCCATGGGTCTTAGTTTGGGGCTTATAATCTGTATTGAACACTTACACACAAAGAATATGCCAAGGTTTCCCTGAGAAGTATTGAAATACTTAAAAAAAAATAAACATCTTATATAATAGAAAGCATATAAAAGATTGACCTGCTTCTAAAATATTTGGGGCTAACAACCAAAGTAATCCTTTCTGTTTTATTTGGACCTCTTCTTATTATCTTGACTTAATCTATAGCAGCTTAAACAATACAGTTTCTATTAAGAAACTATAGCCTTATTACCTTCTATGAAACTTTAAACATTTACATTGAGAAAATGCAAGTTGGCTTTTGCCTACATTTCAGTAAAGGGCTTTATGAGCAGACTTTTGGAACCTAACTTGCTCATACACAGAAGAATGTTCCTTTGATCGAGTGCCAACACAGAACAGGTTAGGACGTTTTACAGTTCCTGCCAATCCTGACTTAAAGAAATACTGCATAATTTGAAACTCAGATAACTCAGATATCCATTTAGTAAGTACTTTTCTTTCCAAAACATCCTCAGAAGGCATCCCCATGTGTACTGTTGAGATAGATGGACAGCTTTGTTTGCATTCCTGACCATCAAGAATCAACTTTGCTGAAGTGACTTGAATAGCTACCCTTTACTCCACAACGGATAATAATGACAACTATTGATTTTATGACCATACACTATTGTATATAAATTAGTTAAATTAATCTTCAAAGCAATCACATTCCTTTATTATTACTAGTTATTATTCATAAATATTTTTTAAAAAGTTACTGAGTGTGAAAGTACTTGATTGTGTTTAGTCAGCAATTAAGTGATTCAAGGAGGAATTAAAAGCAAAGGATCTGGCTTAAGTTTTGATCAGGCTACCAATAGTAGTTAATTCAGATCGAGGTCATTCTTTACAGAGAATCTCTTCTCAGCTCTGTCACTTTAATTGAGCTGGAAGTACTGATCACTTGGCTTTTCTACATTGATTGGATTTTCAAGTTTCACAGACCTGAGTTAAAATTCCAACTGTGCCACCTAACTAGCTTTGTAACCCTGCTTTTAGCCAGCTAGTTAACTAATATTATTTAAAACCAGAAAACTGATTGAGTCAGCTTGATGTTAAGGTTTTGGTAATGAACAAAAGATTTCTATTTCTTCCCTCAAGGTGCATAGCCTACCTTAAATTTTTAATAAGCCTATTTTTCATCTGTGAGATTAAAATTCTTGCAGGCTTATTTTTATCAGTGGATAGAATAATATGTGTATAACTTATAACATAGCACCTGGTATTTGATAAATCTGCCATTGTTTATTCTACCCCTTATTTACCTTGAAGTAAATTTACAACAAAATCTCTGAGCGATAAGTTAACAAAATATATAAAATTATCTTTATGCTCACCTTTAGAGTTTAAAAAAGTTTTGTTAGAAATTTCTAAATGCTAGTATAGAAATATTTCAATATGAATGATATCCAGGTAAAAATTTTACCAGTAAATAAGGATACTTACATAAAAAAATAAAATTAGCAGTATGTAATTGCCAAGTAATAGATTTTTTTCATGGTCTTTATATGGATAAAATTGTAACCTAAGCTAAAGAACTAATCCTTACACTGTTCATATTAGCTAATTAAGTCTATTGGCACTGCTCTATAAAATCTGACCAATATTTTGCACATGTAAACAAGAATAATCAGTATATCGACATTACATTACATGCATATAATATAAAAAAGTCATTGTCTCTGGTTCTATGTTTATCTGTCCATACTATATGTCTATGTATCTTTGTATTTCTCTTTTTGTTTTTGTTTTCCATGATTTGTTGCCTTTTCTATATATAATGCACTGAGAACTGGCAGAGCTGCAGCAGCTAAGCAATGCCCAGTTCTTTACTCTGTATTACTTTAGTGTCTCACGAAGGTAAAACGTTGTTTGTATTATAAATCCATTGATGTGGTAAAGAGTAAGGAAAAGAGGAAAACTGAAGAGTGGGTTGCTGAGGTACCTCTTGTGGTCTGGAGATAGAACATAAAGTCTCATGCATAATAATCAGGGGCTCTGCCTCTCAGCATATTAGCATCCATTTTGTAAGTTTTGTTTTAAAACTATTTTCCCTGAGCTTTTCTTATCTCCTACCTCTCCACCCAGAATCTGAGATTACAGATGTCTCAACTTCACCTAGCTCCTAGGGCTTATTCTAATGTCAGTAAAGGAATATCTATTTCACAGTGAGGCCTTGGCCCAGGTGATTTGATTCTAACATGCAGTTTCTCCCAATATAGAAATTAGAAGATAACTGGTGTTCAGTTATTTTTCACTACTTCTTACTTTAGTCATAATTCACTTACATTCACAACTGAAAAGTAGAAAATGGGATCATTAGAACTTACTATAAGTAACAAGAAATAATTTCATAGATTCTTCACAGAAAAAAAGAAGGACTTGAACAACAATTCTAGATGCAACTTTGGAAATACTTTTATTCTATGAAATTATTGTTTTTGTCACAAATGCTTCTACATTATCATATTTTGGGGCATTACAAGCTAATCTGCTCTTTTATTTAAATAGTCAATGAGTAATAGTAAGCAGTCCTTAGTACAGACAGAACAATCATCCAGATATATATGTGTATATATACTTAATATCTGTTTAGTATGATTTTGTTTTTAATTTTATAGTTGTAACACTATAATAATGTTGGAATACTAATTTGTAAATATTTAATATGCATATTTTAATTACAGGATATTACAAAGGTTGAAAAATCAAAATTACATCTTACTATATAATATTTTACCTGAGAATTCTTCCTGTGTAGTCATATTTTATTAGTTGTAATAAAGTTAAGTTGATGTCTAAGCTCTGATGAACTTTGTTATCCTTGAAATGTTTATTTTTGCCATATTAAATAATTTGTAATAACTACAACAATATAACTCCTTTATATTGAAATGCATTCTACAGAAAAA